ACAATTACATGACGTAATTCGAAACTGTGACGTCTACTCTTCATACTAGAACGTTTCCAAAGGATTTTTTTTAAACTGCACAATTATATTTTAACTTCATCATTTTTAGGCCCAGTAACAAACGATTCAAAAAATGAAGAATATCTTAGTAAATACATTTATTTATCAACTCTGGAATGGAATTTTATAATCTGAAATATGTTGTTGTTGTTTTGTAAAATATTTTTCCACTTAAACTCACATATATAGGTGAATTTTCAACTGTACAAATATTTCTACAGGTGCACAATCAACTATACACTAGGAAACCACTGCATCACACTTTAGGTTAGTTTTGACTATGTATCTTTCATAACAGGATATCAGGGCAGATATCGAATGCTACAGTTTTGTTAGAAAGTAATTTTATACCTATGTTATTGTGAATTACTTATCCTCATAAACATTGGACCTAGAATACCCATCAAGTCCATACACTCAACACTTTCACCGATATAAAAAAAAAACATTGTGGTCATGTCACGTGCAGATTGATCATGTTTTTATCGCTTAGCGTTCGTAGTCCAGTTTTTAAAACACAGAATTCAAAAAGACAAAACACTATAATTACCGATGTTTCTTCTTTATTGTTTAAAAATATAGACAATGAATTCAAAAGAACATAATGTACGCTTTATATATTGATTAGCACGATGGCACAGTTCAGGAACTTGAATTCAAACGTTATTAGCCTGGTATGACCAGGTGGTTAGGGCGATTGAATACTAATCTGAGGGTTGCGGGTTTGAATCCCCGTCCCACCAAACATGCTCGTCCTTTCAACAGTGGGGACGTTAGAATATGACGGTCGGTCCCACCTTTCGTTGGTAAAAGAGTAGCTCAAGAGTTGACGGTGGATGGTGTTGACTAACTGGCCATCTCTCTAGTCTGTCTCTTCTAAATTAGGGATGGCTAGCGCAGATAGCCCTCGTGTAGCTTTGCGCGAAATTCAAACCAAACTGTTCAAACGTTATTATCGTGATAAAATCTTTCTTCCTTTATATGTTTGATTAATTACGCGCAAACCGTCTCTAATTTAGAAAAGACAGAATAGAGGGATGGCAGTTAGTCAACTCTTGAGTTACTCTTTTACCAACGAAAGGCGGTATTGATCGTCACATAATAACGCCCCCACAGCTGAAAGGACGAGTATGCTCCATGATGGGATTCGAACCTGCAACTCATAGATTGCGAGTTGAGCGCCTAAACCACCAAGCCATACCAGACCAATAAAATTTGTCTTCAAAGTGATCAACAAATACGTAAAATCACGCGCGTTTGCACTGTGCGCGAAAATAAAAAATACCTTTTAATAGACAGAGCGGAAATGGGGGGGAAGCAGCTCGCGTAATTATCAGGTGAAATTTTGCGCAATTGTTGCCCCCAGTGCACAGCAGTATGTCTGTGGACTTACAACGTTAGAAACCGGGTATCGATACCAGCGGTGGGCTGATCACAGATAGCCCATTGTGTAGCTTTGTGGTTAATTACAAACAAACAAAGCTAAATTGTTTATTATTTTTCCTGGTAATTTGTTTGAAGTTAAGCACAAAGCTACACAATGGGCTATCTGTGCTCTGCCCACCACGGGTATCGAAACCCGGATTCTAGCGTTGTAAGTCCGCAGACATACCGCTGTGCTACTGGGGGGGCTTTCCTGGTAACAATCATTACAAACTCCATTAGTTGATGAGAAAAAAAAACAAAAATCTCTTCTTATAAATAGTTCAAATTAATATCCCTTCACCGATTGACCTTTTATTATCAAGATCTCTACTCCTTTCTCCAGTGACAAAATAAATTAATTTTACCATTTTTGCTCTATAGACACTGGAAAACGAAGCATAGTAAGAAAAAAAAAAACAGAAAAATACAAACGAACAATCATGAGGTAGCGAAAGATATCAAACTGAAATTTAATCAGCCATATTTCCCCATTCATTTTAATTCAGTTCAAAATATTATATTGTAACATGGGTCATATGTTAAGTATGGGAAATTTTATATCAAAAACTGTTTTTGAATGTGCAGGACTTGCAAGATCATAAAAGACATTTTAATATGTTTGCCCACCCTCTTTTTCTACGCATATCAAACTGTGAGATTCATGGATATTTTTTGTGTTAAAAACTAGGTTGAACATTCAAACTGTGAATTTGAATTTTATGGTAAATGATTAGGATATTTGACCCTTTTTTCACTTTTTTAGTAATGGAAGATTCTTTTTTTTTTCAGAAATGGTACAGTAAAATGTAAAAATATATAAGTATAATCATACCAATTTATATGAAATTCCCTTATAGTTAGAATGGTCAAATGATTTTTAGCAATTTTTTATACTCTGCAGAATCCTCCTCTCCAGGCAAAATATAAACATCGCTATCTTGCTTCTGTTGATCCCATTGGGCAGAAACTAGTGTCAAAAATAAAATCTTCTAAGTATTTAAATGAGATACTATTTTAATACTAATTATCAGACTGACTTTTGGTCGTAAATCTTGCCAGTTCTCTTTTTTTTTACGCCTGGACAACTTTTTTATCAGGCTAGTGATCGAGATTGATTTATAATGTTAATATTTAAAATACTTCTGAGTTTGAACTTATAACACTTGATAGTACTGAAAATTAAAAGTGGTTAAAACTTTTTGCCTGTGAAAACATTTAAAGGTAAAATGATATATTGCCCTTACAAGAAAGATCACTTATTTCCATTGTCCAATGATAACAGAAATCTATTTTTCCCAGCTACTTTTTAACTTCGCATGTGAATTGAAATACATTAAGATCAGTCTGCAGTCATTTTATTTACTCAATCAAATTAAAGGGGGAAAACGATTTATATTGTATAATTAGAAAACAATGTTAGTGGATATTTTTTGAAACTATACATACTGAAAAGAAAAGTACATTTGTAGATAATATAAAAACACAGGTATAACAAAATTAGTGCCAGAGACAAAAGACGTTTTTGTGACAGATTTATCAAAAGTGAGTTTATTCTGATATTTTTCAACAGAAATAATATCCTACTGTTTAAGTTGATTTCCTCTGAAAACAATGTTTTATTCTTAAGTAAATACAAATATTATCAAGCCTAAAACACTTCATAAAGAGTATAATAATTGAAATGATGAATTGAAATAGAGATCAATAAAATGTAAAAATGATCCCTTAATTTGTGTGTAGTTGATTATAAAGTGTTATTACCTTTATAATGTATTACCGTTGCAAAAATTTTTAGCAACAATATGTTTGATGTATTTCTAAAAAACATCATCCATAGTAAGCTTCATATCGTTCACGTTTTTTATGTAAAAATTACAAAGTTTATATTTTGTTTATTTTTACATTTCTCTCCAGGTAATAATTTTTATAGAGAGCGCATAATATACAAAATAAGACAAACAATGGCGGCGACGGGTGTGTTACCATTCGTTCGAGGAATAGACTTTTCTCGAAATGACTTTCGGGTAACGAAAATTGAAAATTTTTATTTATATAAATTATTAAATAACAAAATTTAAGCTTTTTCGTAGAAGTATCTGATTATGATGTGTTATTTAAAGTGCTTCTTTTTTATAATTTCAATATTGTATGTGTTAATTGCTTGTTCCAACGTCCTCTACTAGTACTATGAGTAGTGGTACTAATACTAATATTAGTAATTAATACAATGTGTATATATTATTAACGCAGAATTTAGACTATAGATTATAGGTTGGTAATACTAATAGTAATCAGCATATACTTTTGTTTTCAGTAGGTGGAGCATGGGCTTATAGTATTAGTTATACAGTATACTATAGTATAGCTGTACTTGAATATATGAACAGTTTTATGTGACTTTTAAGTTTTAGTTTCATGTTGATTTTGCTTTATTGTTTATAAGTTGTACAACATTACAAGTTATAATTATCCTGGGGGGGGGGGAGTATTTCTTAAACATAGTTTTAAAGTAAATTATAAATTGATACTTTTAATTAGAATGCACAAAATATTTTTTCAGCAATATATTGGTAGCACTATACAATTTATTGTGTTCAAAATTTCAAAAACCTAGTAGTAGCAGAGTGATTTGCAAGTTACATTATATAATAGAGTATTGTAATGTAATACAGCATCAGGCAGCCTTAGGTCAGAGTGTTGGATTGTAACATTGGTCAGCATTTGGTCAGTGATGGATTGCCCCCCCCCCTACACACACACACACTCATAATGGCTCAGTGGTAAGCCAGAGGGCTAACACTGTTCTAAAATGGGTTTCCATACTTGTGGTGGGCACAGCATAGATAGCCCATTGTGTAGCTTTGCATTTAACAAACAAACGATGACAGACTAAGGTAATGTTAGTAAACTAAGCTGCCAAACTGAAATTTTATTGTATGAAAATGAAGAGTGTAGCATTTTTTTACAAGATGTACTACACCTTAGTCAACCCTATAGACCATCAGTGATTATAATTGAGTGTTAGCCTGTAATACAGTATTGGTAAATCATAGGTCTGAATGTTAGACTGTAAGAGAGTAGTGGTCAGCCATTAGTGTTACACTTTTATAAAATGTAGTAACATAATTTTATGAATTTTTAAAAATCTAAGAAGTGACAGTAGTTAAACATTAACAAAATAATTTGAACAAATTGAGTAATGGTAAGTATTTGTTTAATTGTTTGTTCTTGTCAGAAATGCAGCTAATTTCCATACTTTGGCCATAGGAATCATTTCTCTATCTATAACAATACCAACTAATTACATTTTTTGTTAGTTTGAAAAATATAAGTAGTACACAATTAATATAAAATTATGTAAACCAACGTTTTTGAATACCTGTGATTATACAGAAAGCTGATAATGTAAAACTTGCAAGATTGTCAAGAAACCTCAGTACAATGTGATAAATTGTGGCCTGCACATTTATTTCTTCTGTCAGCATCTAGTCAGTTTTTGCATAAATTTGAAGTCCATTAGGAATTGACCTGTAACATTCAATACATAAGTAAGATTTCACCGCTCAGTTTCTTCAGAATTTTAAAACTTGAAGCAGTGTTACTTGGTAAAGTCTGTGTTTATCATAAATTATTAGATTCTCCAAATGATTTGAGAGGATTTAAATTTTTAGATACATACTACAATGCAATAAAAAATTAAATTTTCTATTATAAATAATAACAAATACAGACTAATGAAGTTCCCTATACATATTATATCCTTGAGCACACAAAAATAACATACGTTTGTATGAAAGCAGATTATAATAATTAATTACAACTTCTTGTTTTTGTAATTAATGAGGTGGTGGTTTTTTTCTTAATATTTTTTTATGGACAAACATTTTTTAAGTCTAACTTCTGTGATTATTTAGATTATGTACATACTATTTTTCAGTGTTCTTGGAACACAGTGTTTGATATTATTATGCATGGTCTTATTTAGTTTTTAAGTAATATTTGTATGCATGTTTATTTTATTTTTTGCATCTCCATTGACGAATATGTGCTGTCAGTGGTAGCTGTCCTTTGTTGTATGTCACTTATATATTATCTCTTCATTTAGACTTGGTATTTGTTGCTTTTACTTATCAGTACCAACTCGTATGACATTGTTCCAAATACCCTGGATAAAGTGAAAGTTACATTATTTCAGATATTTCTATCTTTGCAAAATGTATTCTCTTTTACAAGTGTTTTACTTAAGTGTGATGAGTGGAAACAATCTAAATACCATTGCTGTTGGAACAAATACCATTAGGAATTATTGTTTTTATCAGTATTTAACCATATGTTACATATATAAACCATTCATGTTATATTTCATGGATTATACAGAAATCTAGTGATGGATTCGTTTGATGAGATGACGATAATTACACACCCTGTAAAGATTTTATAGTATCTGGTAGCCATAAAGTAGTTAATTTGTTTCTGATGCTTTTAAACATGTTTATTTAAAACACCCTGGCAAATTTTGTACACCTTCAAATGTACTGAAGGTTTACGTGGATCTTTGAAGGATATCAGTATGTTCCATTAGCAATTACATAGACCATCTATTTACATGTAGGACCTTGAATAGTAATGTGTTAAAACCTTATTATCTGGGATTCACCTTTGATTGTTGTTAGTTACATTTCTTTATTATTGTTTCCATTATCATGTGCTTTGAACCATGTTGTTTACACTATGAAGTAGATTGTTATTATAATTTATACTTTGAATGTTCTGTTAATTGTCCTGTGAAACAGAATGCAGTTTTTAACCAACCGTGCTCATAATAGCACTTATTCGATTAATTTGTGCATATTTATAGGAGGACTACTTTCCTAATGCTGTGGGTGACATGATGGGATTGAGGTGGCTGAAACTAAACAGAACAAACATTGACTGGATCCCAGATGAACTATCTAATCTGCAGAAATTGGTAAGTGCTTTTGTTGCATGGTGAGTTTCAAGATTCTAATACGGTTGTAATGTGTAATTCAAATTTTTTATGTTACACAATTGTTAATACTGTATATTAAGATTATCCCTTGAGTGTAGAGTATTGAAATATGTTTGACATCAGTGTCCAAAAGTAGGATCATAAGTTTGTTCAAAATGTCACTTTTGAGATGACCATAGTACATACAATGCTTGAGTTATTTTTACTTAAGGGGAACTCCCTAAATTTCATATTGTACTGGTACCCTCTTTGTATAATATATACTGTGAATTTAACTCCAAATTCAGATTTAAGAATATGAAGAAAAATATCTTTGGTTTGATGATTTGGTATATTTAGAAATAATTAAATGCTTGGTTTGCAGTGTTTGAAAGCTCTGTGTGTAATTTTAGTAAAATTATAAAGTCACATGTTGTGTAATAAGTCTTAAGATAGATTGTAAAATAAATGAGTTTTTTATTAGATTGTAGTTTATGTTTCCTCTGTTTTGTTTATATGCTTGAATTACTGGGGTTCGAACATTTTTTGTTTCCATGATATTTAATGTTGTTATGTTTTTCCTCTTAGGAAACATTGTCTTTGGTTCGTAATAACCTAGTTACTATTCATGGTGAAATATCAACACTTCCATGTCTACGTTCCTTGAATTGCCGATACAATAAGCTTAAGAACTGTGGAATACCTAATGACATCTTCCATCTTGAAGAATTAACTGTTCTGGTAAGTGTTTCATGTCATTTAAAATGGTGTGGAACCAAATGAGACTTGTGTTTAATACTTTTAAGTTCCTTAAAAGTTTTCCAATTTTATATCTCAAGTTTTCATAACCTTCTGTATGATAATCTCCAAATGTTGCATAAGGATGACCTGTCTTAGTGTTAAATTTTCAGAAAATAAATCTTTGTATCAGATCAGTAAAGTATTTCATAGACCTAAAATCAATAGTTTAACTGCTTAGGGTTAAAATTAGTATACATGTTCATCTGTTGCATTTCCTTCAATAAGGACTTCAGTCACAACCAGCTTCGTGATGTTCCTCAGGACCTGGACATGGCTAGTAGCTTACTAGTGCTGAATTTGAGTCACAATCAGTAAGTTAAGTTTTTGTCATGTTTAATAAAAGTCGGAAACATCAATGGACTTGTATGTTTTGAATTAATTTTGAAAATTGACAAAACTGATATAGCATTATTTTCTGTCTAATCTGCTGTACTGTATACAAACAACATTCCAGATATACAATGTGTATTCAGTAGTTGTGCACACCATGATTTTTCTACAGCTGTTCCAAATGTGTACTGTTGATATCATGACACAATGTTATTCCTTCACACAGGTTTTGTCTCACTTCCACATATTCTTGTAAGGTTAATAACATCCAAACCTATTACTGTAACAAAAGGAAAAGATATTATTAGTGAAACACAAACATGATGTAGAAAAGTCTTAGTAGGCATTGAACATAGAAATATGGTGGTGTGACTTGTGCCTATCACCCTATAGTTTTGGCTTCCTTAAATCCAACTTACTTGATAAGTTATGGTACTAAACAAAAGGCCTCTTAGGCATTAGCTATGGCAGGCAAAAAAGATATCTCAAAGCTATTTTTACACATCTCTGATTTAAAGTTCATAATGAGGTAACTAAAAGGAATTTAAAAAAAGAATGCATGCTTCTGGAATACTTTTGAATAGAAAGGGCAAAAGTTAATATTTGAAAATGAATATAATAATCCTGATTGAAACCCTTTAGAGTGTAAAAAATTTTAGTTAACATCAAATTACTTCAAACAGAATACCGTATTTTTCGGAATATAAGAACGCACTCTTATTTTGAAGACAAAGTTTTGGGGAAAAAAAGCTGCAGTCGCATTTGAAAGATTTTTATTGAACAAAAATTAAATTTGATACTTTAAAAATTAGTATATATTGTTCTAAACACAAAAGAGCTCAAAACATCAAAATAAGAAAATA